GTGCTACGACTGGTATATTTTCAGGTCTTGCTGCTTTCCTACTCTTGTTTTGTCTGATGGCCAACCTGATTTCGATCGTTTGTTGAGTGACATCTAGGGGATGGTCTGTGTGAGATGCTTCGATGTCCGGTGACGTCGGCTGTGCTGGTCTATTTAAGTGTCCCTCAAAGTGTTCTACCCACCTGTTCCACTGTTCTTGAACCTCAGTGATTGGCTGGTCTTCTTTTTCCCTGACTGGTATCTCTTCCTTACTGTGTTTCCATGCTAGTTTTTTCGTTGTGTTATATAGTTGGTTCATGTTTCCTTATGTTGCAGCTTTCTCCTCTATCTCTGCCAGGTCTTTCATGTATTTGTGCTTGTCAGCTCAAATCTTCCTCTTCACTTGCTTGTTTGCTACTGTATATTCAGATCGTGCCTTGATTTTCTCTGTTCTTGCTCCGACTGATGTTAATTGCTGTCTTCTTGTTCTTCCTTTCTTGAATTTTGTCTAGGGTTTCGATAGAAATCCATTTCTTATAATGATGCTTCATGTGGCCTAGAACCAAACCTCATGACACGTTGAAGTTAGTGCTTCTTTGATTTCTTTCCAGTTGTCCTCCATTGTAGGTCACTGATCCTACTGAAGCTGTATTACGCGTTGTCGATTAGAATGTCGAGCCACAACAAATCAGCATTCTGAAAACAAATTAAGCCTTAAATAAAGCAGGTCTGGAGACATTACTGAGAATATGTGAAATTTAATTACAATTTATTATGATTTTACTTACACCAATGTGATGAATAACCAGTACATTTACTGCGCAGTTAAATATTTCATATTGTGTTTAAATACAATACAATTTCATACTGCGTACTTCGAATTTAAGTTCTTGTTTGTGTCATGTCGAAGTTCTAGACTTATTGGGATTAATACTTTTTTGTTATACTATTTCAAATTCACTAAGAATAACGACAATGTTTACATTAATGCTCGACTGTTCACAAAAAATCTCCCATTCCTAATTTACTAATCAAAACACCAATGGGATAGTTAAGTATTCTATATTATCCTTGATTAACCGGAAGTAAAAATTCTAGTGACTATGCACATATAAATACAAGATCATGACGCGTCATAAATAACTAAATTTTGAACTTGTTTGGTGATAAAGTTGTTATAACTTGTGGGTTTGTGCCCCTATCAATGTATGCCGTAATGGTACCGCCACTTTGAGAACCGAATCAATGATGCATATAACCCGTACGAGCAGTCTAGAGTCTTTATCCGTCCTGCTTCCGGCCCAGCCTCGCCTGTTAAGTCCAGAACAGCAATCACAGACTCTAAGATACGAATCACTTTTTTAAAAAATACTGGGTTTATTTATCATGCAAACAGACCACATCGTACCACTATCCAGTTGATCGGTGCGTGTACATGGTCTATTCGTAATAATAGTCTATCAAAGATAAAATTTATCTTTGTTAATATTTCTTCCTTTCATGCTGAGTGTGAAATCTTGTTAACTTATGTTACTCTGAAGCTAGTTTAATATCTTTCGCAAATTCCAATGAATTTTCTCTTTTCAAAAGTGAATATTCAATAACTATTCACTGCATTCATAGTGATGTATAAATCTTGGATGTTTATTTTAGAGAGATGCTTCTAGAACCGTTTTTCAAAGAAGCATGACACTCAGGGATATCCTCACTAATCTGGTTAGGAAAGGACTGGTGTTAGATGCTGGTTGGAGGTAGTCGACAGGAAACCCTGGACCCGGGTTTCGTGCTATTTGGGACCAGTTCCCTCAAAATTACAGGTACACCTTGCTGACGAGTGCCAAGTAGCACGAAACCCGTGTCTAGGGTTTCATGTCGACTACCTCCAACCACCATCTAATCTCAACATAGTGCACGCAGTGTCGAGTCGCTTAGATTGGGGGCCACTTTGCAACATGATCGATAGCATTCGATCTGCACTAATAAGGACTTGACACACATGACATTGATCACCAACCAGTGATCAGTCAATTGTGAAGGACTGATATACTTACACGGAGTGGCAACTAACATCCAGAACTTTTTGAGTTCTCTTTATTTATTCCACTAAGTTCTCTTTATTTACTTAGTGATAACAAATAAATATTAAAAAAACTCGAATCATATTGGTATTAATTGGTCAGATCTAGTTTTCAACTCGAATTCCGTATAACCAAGTTTTTACATTGTGTTGAAAATTTTCAGTCTTTCTACTTGAAAAGTTTGCTTAATAATAATAGTTGAAATAATCAACTAGTTTTAATAAAAACAAAATCTTTTAACTCATGCTCTCTGATCATTGAATATTAATCAATGTTATACTCTTTAATCCTTGAGTTCTATTGATCAGTGTTGTCACTAGGCAAAGCAATTCGGTACAGAGTTACATTTTACTTGAACTATTCAGGCATGAATAGCCCTGTGACATGGTTCCGATATTTCCTGTTTATGAAAGTACTGTGGTGTGTGCTACTGATGTCGACAGATATAAGTAGTATGTGCCATTAATTGAAAGTGAAATGTTTGGCTGTAGAAAAGAGAACGAGAACAGAGTGATTGGTGTGGAAGTGAAGAAACGATCAAGTCTGAAACAACTGATTGATATTTTGCAAATAAAGTATTTACTGTATGGTTCTCAGACTGTACTAAGAGATTTTGTAATTCTGTACTCATATATATTTGGTTATCCGCACTTGTGTGTTCTCGTTCACTACAGTACCATTTTCCTTAAATTTACGGATATATTTTACTGAAGAGTTGATAGGGTGGGCAATTGCATATTACTTACCACATGAACGTCAAACAGCAAGTGATGTTATAAGACAGACATGCAATTGGAGGACATCGTTTATGCTATTACTCACGGTCTCAACCAACATATTGTCTGGGCCAGTAGGACAAAGAACTCTGCTTGTAGCTCTTCTAGAATTACTGCCGGCTCCAAGTCCGGGTGAAGTAGAAAGATTGGGCACGGGGTCGGCAACCCCATTCCGTAAAAAACAACCTTGCCAAAGAAATCGCTAACCTAAATAAACAATTTAAACTCTGGAATTTGAAGCGACTATTATTGCGTTTGGATTTCACATTGAATATCACCAAGTAGATGAAATTACATCCACCTGACGATTCCCAAACACAATGAGACATATATCTTGAATTCAGCCGGGAGCCAAAATCTACTTCATCAATGACACTTATTTGGAATGGTTTGTTTTCTATAAGACCTATGAATTTATATTTATCCTATCAAGAGAACAGAACAAAGATTGTAGGTAACAATTGGATAGGTTGGTGTGACGTTACTGACAGATAGATTTAAATTACATTTGTCTTTTATCGTAACGTATCTCGTGATTTAGTGACGAGAGTAAGGAATCCCAATTTAATCTATATCATTTAGTTTAGTTAATTGGATTTTACCACTATAGAATTGAATTGGAAAACTGATTCCTATTTATCATTAGTAAAGGATAAGTTTCCAACCTGGGAGATTTTATCCGTATAATGTCCTCATTTTTTTGAGTCAAATCAGATTTGTGAACAGAAATTTTATTTATAAACGTCATTCTTTTGAATTTCTCATGTGAACTAATAAATACAAGTCTAGAATCAGTATTATGTATTACAACTAAAGTAATCAATTGTGATTACACCCCACTGTAGTATAAATAAAATCACGATCTCGCTCATTTGATTTAGTAAAGTGGCATGCTAATGACTGTGTCAACATTGATTAGTGTCACTTATAAATGATGAATCCCATTATCTTTATTAAAGACATTTTAATTTGTCTTACATCGTGTCTGTGTCTCCGAAATATCTACCTCTGAGTCAACAGAGCATCAAAGAAACGAGCATATCTTGTATTATACTTTGATAAACTTATATCGGTATATCAATGTGAATGAATCTTTGAAAAGTGAATAAAAATAATGCTGTATATCTTAATTTTTTTCAGTTGTGAGAATACGAACATTCCAAGTTTTAAATCATAAAACTTCTTCAATTTTCCATATATATGTTCATTAAAAATTTGTTATTCTTTTGATTCCAAACAAAAAGTCATCTTGAACTGTATCAGTTTTTCCAATTCGAACACTAGATAATCATTCATATCATATAAACATGTACACATGTATAAACCGAAAAGAATCCCGTGGGATGCGGGATCATGGATACACAGTGTTGAAGTGTCCCATACTAGGACAAAACGGCCGTCCAGTGCTTTCAGGTTTTTCATGGTAGTCTAGCTTCAACTGACTCATGATTTCAATCTGTGAAATTTCTAAAATCTTCACAAAACCCCTTCTGAAAATAATATCTATGGGAATTATTTACCTTTCAAAAAAGTCAATATATAACAAGAACCATCCATTTCTTTCTTTTTATATCATTACTATAAAGTGTATCACTTATGATATGTCTGTTTTACTTCAGCATATTGATTTGTTCTCAGCTATCTTGACTAGAAGTCATATGATCATGGAATACTTTCATAATTACAATTAATAATATGCAGATATATAAAACACTAATACCAAAATTACAATAAGGTTTTACTTTATCCATTATTTTTTTTATCAAAATAAATATATATAATAGTACATAGTGATTAGTATGAGTATCCAATTATGTAAGTATGGTGATTACTGAATGGATCGATTAGTTCTTCTATGTAATTGGTTTATCTTCATAAATTATTTAATTAATGCTTGTGAATGAATGAATGAGTGTTGTTATGTAGTTGTTATGTTATAGTATGTACGCCTGTTTGTCAATTTGTCTCATATAAATAGTTTTAAAGAAGAAGAAGAAAAGAAAAGAAAAGAAACCAGTATCCTCCTTTATTCATGTAACTTGATTAATAAAATAAAACGTCTTTTTACTTTGGTAAGTTAATCATATTGTGTGTCCATAATATGAATCTAGTAAATTTCCTTACAGTTAAATTTCTCTTATTTATTAACTTTTAATGAGTATGAATAATGATTTTCGATTTTGATTTAGTTGAAATGAATGTAATAAGGTAATAAACTTACTTTTAGTTAGTAATGGAATCCAATGTTGATGAGAGTTTTATCCTATTTGGGACTCATCAGCCGGATATACCTACATCCAGAAGGTGATATTCACTTAATAGCTAAGTGGATAATGTGATGGTGTTTGAAGCAGACGGTATTGGTTTCGAGTCTCAGAGTGGATATTAACACTAAGATTCAGGTACATCCAGCTGATGAGTTCTAAATAGGATGAAACGCGCATCCTGGATTCCACTACTAACCATCATCCATCTATGCTTAAAAAGCTTGTGAGTTAAGATCATATCGAGTCGATCCGCACAAGATGTATATATGCCAACATGAAACTGATGAATTGCACTCTTAAGTAACAATGGGAAGATACCAGCAAAACAACATCAAATGAAATTTTCATGAAGATAGTTTTTGATGTAGGCGGTAAATCCTGATACTGTGATATTACTCAATGTGTCCGTTTAAATATGGTTAATTAGAATTCTTTTGAAATGCTACATAAAAATAATATTTAAATTGTTTTGTACAGTAGATGATGATCATGTTATGTAAACAATAGTCATTGTCTTTTGCTTCAAAGTAATTTATAATTAACTGAGCTTAATATCTTAATAAAAGTGGTGTCATTTAATAATAATAAGGTGTTTATTAAACCTATCTTAAATAATTGAATCATAGTCAAAAAATGTAACCATTGGTCTACAAAGATGACTTACTTACGTCTGTTACTCTTAATGGAGTATAGGCCGCCGACCAGTATTCTCCAAGCCACTTAGATCGTATATTCTTCTAGCATTTGAAACACTTATAAAACTCGATTCCTATATCATTTTACTTATTGTCATCCAGAGAATATATATAACAGAATATTGCAAATCATATATAATATACTCTTGTGGGTCAGAGTAATTTTACATTGGTTTTCAGGAGAACCGGACACTATCCAGACTTCAGTGTGACAACGCAAACATTACATCCAAAACTTATCATTATACTAGTACTTTAAAGAATCAGTTATTGTTTTTCAATCATTACTTCATTTATATATGTAAACATCAACTTTTATATTTATGTATCACCGTTTCCTGTTTTAGACCTAATACAAATCAGTACATGTACACATTCATTATGAAACGTTATTTATCTGTGCACAATAACATCAATATTTACGGCATTGTTTTAGTGATTTATTTTGAAAAGTAAATATTGGTGTTAAAGTACATATTAGAAACATAAGAAGAAAAATAGCAGTTCAGTCAACTATAAGTTAAACGCTTGTTACAGAGTTTGGAGAACGTGGATTAGATTTCCGGTAGGGTCGGTGGTGTTCAATCCTGATAAGTTTCATAGGAAAATAAAGCTTTGAAACTATCAATTCCAACCATGGCATCGATACTTATAAACAATAACTTATGTATCATAATATATATTCATTCTGAAATTAACTAATGGTGCAAAATAACATTTAAAAACAGAGGTTGTTATTGAACTACGATATAAGAGAACAGTTGAAGTTTAAAGCATGGATGATGTATAGTAACCCGTTATCTCTACTTCTATTTTTCATTAAACAGAGTAAAGTATATTGATTCACTAACTATTCATAGTTTCCAATCATTTGTACATTTATTTTAGCTTAAAATCAAACCCTTAAATGTTTGTAAGTAGTTCAATTATAGTGTCATTAATATCAGATGGGTTTTGTGGAGATTATAGTAGTTTCAATGGTTGAGATCATGAGTTAGTTGAAGCTAGACCACCATGGAAAACCTGGAAGCACTGGACGGCCGTTTCGTCCTATTGTAGGACTCCCCAGCAGTACGCATCCACGACCTCGCCCCCTCCGAGATTCAAACCCAAGAACCACTAGACCACTGAGCCGTCATTAGCTAACTGACTTTTGTAAATCAGGGAGAAATGTATAGATTTACTCACCTGACTCACAAATCTACGTATCAAGTTGAACGTGCAAGTAGTTGAAAATGCTCAAATGAAGTGTAAACATCCACTTATATCTACTATGGCTTTAAATAACCATCTAGTTGATGACAATCCGTATTGAAAACAGATTTTAAATTTACTAACCATAATACTAATCATCCTACTTGGTCGATTTTTCGACATGATGCCCATATCTTCTTTAGTCTGTTGAATAGTAAATACAACAACAAGAAACTAATATAAACGTTTTTTGCAATATAGTAGGGTGTGTCAACAGTTGCGAAATACATGTCTTCCATTCTAAATCCTTTATTGTTAATTACTTTACACTGAATGTATTCACATACATTTTTTGTGATAATAAGTAACAGAACAACTTCTTAACAAATGTCTTAGTTAATAACTTTTAACGGTTGACATCATGAGTGAATTGAAACTGGACAACCATGGAAAACCTGGAAGCACTGGATGGTCGTTTTGTCCTATTGTGGGACTCCTCAGTAGGGCGCATCCACGATCCCGCCTCGCGAGATTAGAACCCAACACCTATCGGTCTCGCATGCGAACGCTTAACCTCTAGACCACTAAGCCGTCTGTCATCTAATGGTGTTAATGTTTAACTTTAACTCATCCACGAAATTGAATGACACATCCAGTTTAAACTATTAAATTATATTAATAAATTCCATTGAAATCATAGACAGATCTGAATTAGATCATTATTGAAAATCTAAAAGCACTGGAAGGCTGTTTCTTCCTTGTATGGAACTCTAGAACAATGTTCATTTACTAGTACTTTGGAAATAAATTATAAAAAGTTAAGGAGCAGAAATCAGTTTTTTTTTCAATCTATATTTTTGAAATTATTCCATGTTACGAACCTGTTTCTCTTACTAAGAATAGATAAAACTTACAGATCAAGTTATGTATGTAAATACAACGAAACTCATGTCTTAGATCAAACTGTTGGCCACAATCTATTTATAAGCAACCATGGATGGTAGCTAGCAATGGAATTTAGGAGGCGCGTTCCGTCCTATATACGACTCGTCGGCTAGATGTGAACGTCAACTCTGAAATGCAGGTATATCTAACTGACGAGTTCCAAATATGACGAAACGTGCATCAAACTGGATTTCACTGCTATCCATGATTGTTTATATAGCTTGTGACTTAAGACAATATCGAGGCAGTCCGCAGAGGATGCACATATGTCAACAAGAGATAGATGGGAAGATACAGGTAAACAACACCAAATGAATTCACAATCTTTTCATTTGAAGTCAAAAAAATTAATTTGCTTTTTATACTCTATCTAGAGTTTTCTCAGTATAGGTACAATGGCTTTATCTGTGTTCAATTCTTAAATATCTACATTTTTTCTATTCTCTTTCTCTCTTTTTTAATCCTTTAAATCGATCATTTGCATGTGGGTTATGTTATTGGATTCCGTAATTGTGTGTTATTTTTGTGTATTTAATGGGCCTTATTACCTGTTTGTTGGTACAGGAGCGAATTTAAAGAAAGCTAATGTAGGCTAAACCCAAACTCATGATCAGTCTATGAAGCATTTTACTAACGAACAGAGCTATGTAGTCAGACTAAGACTAATTAGTTAGTGATAAACCAGCTTATGTTTGAACTTCAATTTTCATCAAATTGTAATCTATAGGCTTTTGTTAAAACACAATGACTAATAATTTTCGTGCACATACTTTTTCCTAGTTATCCTGGATTTTTCTAGGTCCCTAACCTCCGATAGTAATAACTGACATCCAAGTATTACTGAATACCTTAACAAAATCCCCATCAGTAAATATTTTCCTAGACACTTATAATACTGAATGAATCGAGGTTTTGGGGACTGAACTCTAAAATGTGAAAAATTTGCACAAATTTCGACAGACATTTTAAGATAGGAAGTTTGTTTCTAACTTATATTAGTAAAACTAGAATTTGTAGAACTTCCTGTTTCTAAAATCACTATCAATGGACAAAGTATTGTTGTAGTCATAGATCTTCTTCATTATCTTAATTGACAAATACTCAAAGTGAAATTACTAGGTGAAAACTCTGTAACGTGAGCTTGCTGATTATTAAAGGGGAGTACAAAGTCATAAACTTAAAGAATTTTTGAACAAATGTAATATTCACTTAAGTTTATTCATGTTTTTTGAAAGAAAGATTTAGCACTTGGTTCTCACTAGTACATTAGCACAAAAGGAATGAGACCAACATCAGCAGTGGTAGTTTATTTGCAATCAGAAAATTACTAATCACTGTAGTTAGACAAGTAACTGAAACAATCCATAACATGTCTGAAATAGGCATAGATATTACAGTTCAACATTAGACATTAGAATCGGCACAGTACTTCCATGTTCTTAATAGTGGTTTACCTCAGGTCGACTCGCGAATTCAACTATGAAAATTCTACGATCTCCATGAATCATCATACTGATTATAATCATGTGCTCACTAATGACTAGTTTTAAGATGAACTTCCTGGAGTTTGAAAGAGAAGCCGTGACCAGTGGAGTGCAGTCTGTGTCGGGTGTGAGACAGTTATTCGCCTTAGATATTGGATGAAGGGTTGCTCAATATCATGGGTCAGTTGAAGTTAGACGTCAACACTGTTAGATGCCAGCTCAGTGATCTAGCTGTTAATCGTTCGCGCTCGAGACCGAAGGTCTTGGGTGCAAGTCGCAGGTTCGCACTGCTGATGAGTCTCATACTAGAATGAAACGGCCGTCCAGTGCTTCCAAGTTATTGATGGTTATCTAGCTTAGATCGACTCGTCAATTCAGCTGTTAAAAAACGGTATAGTTACAACGCATAATTTATAGCTGGTTCGCAGGTTAATAACAACCTTCTGATCAGAAAGTTCTTATAGATACAACAATGTATTAGGAAATTAAACTATAATTACGTGATGATTAGAAGTATTTGAACTATTGTACAAACTAGGAATCCCAGGAATAACGCAATTTAAACCGAGAAGAACTTGGTGAGCATGAACAAACGTATTGTATTTGGAATTCAAAATCAGACAGACATCAAGTATAAAGGAATCATTAGTTCATACAAGCACCACAACTTATCTTGATGGATCTAATTTTTTGCATACAGTTACTAAGAAACTGAATCTGGAGGAAGTAATCAAAAATGTAATTCACAATTGCCTTTACAACTACCTTTAATTGACTTATATGAATATATGATAGTTTGATCCATTGCATTGTTCTGGAAAATGCTACAATTTAAATAAGAGTTACTACGATGATAGAGCATAATTTTGTGAAAAATCATGGAACAAGAAACAAGAGTCGCAATTGAGAACTTTCAAATCTTCCAGGCATAATAATAAACTTATATGAAGCAATTAGTTTACACAGAATTAAGTAATAGTTTTTATAGTAAATAGGATTTCATAAAAGATTGTTTCGTTGTACACTAAACAACAGATAGTATTAGAAACAACTGTCTAATACTCTCTCATTTCATTCGTAATGTATGAACTTCCTACCTATTTACATATCTGTACAGATAAAAACGTGTATTGTGAATATATATAATGTCTAGCGTCTATGGAATGTTAGTTAGGTGCACCAATCAATCCAAATAATAACTCGGAGGAACTTCATGTAGGTGGCCTGCTTGGATATCTGGGCTACCGGTTTCTGCCATCTAGATATTTGAACCAGTCTCCCTTTTTGTTTGTTTTAACATATTATCATGTCGATTAATCACATAACCCATTGAGCCTATCACTTCACAAGGCACAAGAAATTACAATCAGACATATCATGGTGTCTGGCAATATGCATTGGAAAGAATGAACATTATTTAGATGTCGATTCTTGAAATACTGAACTCTAACTGCTGATCAATAATGGGCAACGTCTTCAGTTCTTACTAAGTCCAAACATGTAACGTATTTGTGGTTTAATCACAAATCAAGAATCCTGGTTAAAATAACTTACAAGACGACTGACTAATATCACTACAAGATTTCAATGCTTATTGTCAGGATGGATCAAGCAATATGAAAAAGAAACTTGTTAAAATACTTTGTACCAAATAAAGCCATCAATAATATTAATAATAATTCAGCCATTTAAACGTAAATACATGTAAACATTTTTGGAACAGAAATACATTCAGCAGCAATGTAATCATAAATTCTTACGTCATTGCACTGAAGCTGACTAGTTTTTCTGTTTATGTTTCAAGAAGCGAAGTGATGACTGGAGTGACTTTACAGAAAAATTATTCTCAGGTGATATAACTGTCATCTACCATGGTACTTTTAAAACATGCTCACATATATACACAGCTAGAAGCTATGATAGTGTAATATATCAAAATAAACTCAGTTGCATCGATATATTTGACCGACTAACTGAAATATCGCACATGTTCCATATAATTTGAAGACTTTACTGGAACAGAAGCTAAAAACTAGTATTCTATTCCTCTGATGTACTACATAATTTTGTGCTTCGTTTTTGCTTGATCTTAATGAGGATTCAGCAAAAATACATAAGTGTAACAACAGATCACGTCATGTCTTTACTCTAGGGAGTAAAATTTCATAATGTGAGTCACACTAATGTATATTATTGACTGAATCTATCACCAGAAAATATGAAACATTAGATATCTGTTTCGTCCCAATATGGAACCTCTCAACAGTGGGGGCGCGAGACATAATCAATTATCAGAATCAGAACTTACTGGTTTAGCAATGAGTGCTCAACATAAAGAGGCGACGATCACCTAAGAAAATACATATGATCAGTTAGAAGTTTTAATCATTAGATTACAAGCTTACCGCTAACCCTGATGGTCTTGAACTTAACCCTGATGATATCTTGGTTACTTAATGCAAAGGAGTCATAAACTAAAACGAAATACTGTCCCATATTA